ATGTTTTCAGTAGTGCAGGGAAAAATAGACTAGGAGTAAGATTTATCTCGCTAAGGAATACAATAAGCTTGGCTAGAAACAGTAAATCTCTCAACACTTCTGCTTAAATAACACATATGAAATGAGAGGACAGTTAATTTATTGCAAAATCGATCTAGTTTCCGGTTAAAAAACTCTACGCACTGAGAGCAAAAATATCTAACGGATAAATGATATTTGTTCAGTGAATACAAAAAACACATTCACTTGTACTAATATAAAATATTTTTCAAAGAAGAAACATAAACTTTAGCTTCTCACAAAAGCACTTGTTTATCCTAGTTGAATGAAAGAATTTAAATGTAAGTAAATATATTATTAGTAACCACCGATCAAAATTTTTTTTTAATTTTTTAGATACCTTTTCTCAGCGATATTTTTTCAGTAATTTTTGCTACAGAATTCTCTCCGTGTGTTTTATCTTTTTCTTCCCTTACATAAAATATCTTTATTTCCTGCTTTTTCTCATCTCTTTTTTATTCTCCAAAAGGCGATGTTCTTCCCTATAGGAGACAAATAAATCAGCTTTCGCGGGACGTTGACGTTTCTCGAGATCGACGGAACGCTGGCAGATTCGCGCTCTTTTCCGACGCGCACGCGGTGTCAATCGCAGGACGCGCGTCGTCTCTCGAGACATCCACGACTCACGTCACGCAAGTCGCGAGCGAAAACTGCGCGCAGATCGCGCGCGAAAAGAGACGGCGAATAAATGTAGCGCGGAACACCGTTTCTCGCGTTCTTTCCGACTCGGACCTTCTGAACTTTCCTCGGTCGCGCACCGTTTATCTCCGTATGGCAGACGCAGGCGTTCCTAATCGGCAAAAAATTGCGGAACACGCCGGCGCCAATAAATCTGATTTCTATCGAAAGTATTCCCGCGCGACTTTGTTCGCGAGTCGACGAGATTTATCGAGAGAGAAAGAGAGGGAGCGCGCGCGCGCGTTTTTACTTAAACCGGCTCTGCGCTGTCTTCGACAAAATATCACCGTAAATACCAAGTGACAAGCGGATTAATTCTCATCGGCGAGTGCGTGTAATGACGCCGATAAAAAGAAGGAGGTTCTCGTCGTTGTAAACACGTCGGGCGGAGATTCAAACTTGGCAATTTTGTGCGCGCGAGTAATCGAGTGGCTAATAAACACGCCGTAATATCGGCGTAATTACCACCGCGACGAGACGCAACGAGACGCGATAACGTATCGCGCTAGAAATTATACAATTTCCCGCCTTTTTTCCCCCCTTTTCTCCCCTCTGCCGCTCTCTTGCCTCTTTTTCGCCTCCCCTTTTTTTCGCTACGGTACGCGAAATTAACGTCAACGCGAAATTCGTTGCATTTACGGCGGCGACTGCGAGATTACTAATCGCGCATCGGTGGCACGTGTGTGCGTGGAACACTGAGCGAGAGAGAGGAGCTTCACATACACACACACACAGACGTCGGCGCGAGATGTAATATACCGTACATACCTTCGTGCGAATTAATGCGGCCGGCTAGTACACTTATACAAGCGTCTGGCGCGTAAAGTGTTTTATCGTTGCTGCGATGGTTTGACGTGGTATACGCGTTAATTACTTTTGCTTTACGACTGGCGAGCGCGAGACGTAACGGCAGAGGAGAGTGGTGGGGGAGGGGAGAAAAAAAGAGAAAGCAGGAGGAAATCCGGGAGAAGTAGCGGCGGCGTCGGCGAATTACTCCTATCCGAAGGATCCTCGTGATGCAAATTATCCGAGGGCTTTTTATGCTTATTTTCCGAGAGCTTTAACTGCCGACAGCAGTCTCGCGACGAAAGTCTCGCGAGGAAGCCACCGCGCGCGCGTATTTTTACGCGCCCGTTAATACGTTCTATTTGTTATCCTGCTCGTTTATCATTCCGTTTGTCCGTTCGCACACCTTTCAGAGTGTCCAGTGTAACTCGTCGATCACGGGCCCGTCGAAAATTACTAACACAGGTCCTTCTTTTTCTCTCTTTACTATTAAGAGGTAACTCTAAAGGGGCGTCTACATTGGAAGTAAGTAGTAAGAAGTAGGAAGCAAAAGTAAGAAATTGACCAACCACAGTCGAATGTAAGAAGAATAATCAACTATGATTGGTCAATTTCTTATTCTTACTTCCTACTTCTTACTGCTTACTGCTTACTTCTAATGTAGACGCCCCTTAAGGCTTTGTCTACATATAATAATCGACTTAAAAGAATAATCAGCCAATTCTTAAGGCTTATTCCGCATATTGTAGACCAAGGGATTATGATTTTTAGTCTTTGACCAGTGTTGACCAATACCTTGTTTCTTGGGTTTGCATCGAATCTTTCTTGTGTTTGATTCCGACGTTTCGTGAACATTTTAGTTCATTTCTTCGGGAAGCAAGGCGACCGACTTAGAATCCTTTTCAGGGGAACCCAAAATGTAAACATAAAATATTTTTTAAATAAGAAAACACATATATTCTCATATATAATTCATATGTTATTTATATTTTATCAGATATAAATAAACTTCTGCTCTACTCTGCTCTACTCTCTCTTCAATCCGCGAATGTGAAATTTGACTCGCAGATTCCTCGCGAATGATTAGCTGCGAGTAGCTTACATATGAGAGCGTTTCGCGTATGAAAACTTGGCGAAATTCGATTGTCATCTCGCCACAGCACACCCAGCCGATCGTGAAGCGACGTATCGCGCGTGTCCAAGAATCTACGAATCCAAGCATCTCGATCAATAATTCCGTCATTTTGTTCGCGCTATTCTTCATCGCACTCTGCTGAACGCGCTTTACTCAGCGATATTATCAGCGTTGGGAAATAAGATGAAAGTAGCAAGCCCTTGAACGTACTTAATAGTGCAATCAAACGACACGGTAAATGTCGTAACGTCTAAATAAAACGGCAGATCGATGCCAGGTCGAATGTGACTATATTCACGACATTACGTAAGAAAAAGTCGTTTAATTTTTCATAGTGAATCTCTGCTATGCGATTTCGCGAAACATGCGAGAAAAAATAAACCGGTGTTCGGAATTACATGCACTTCTGAGGCGATTTCGACGTATACGCTTACGTAGAAGACATTAGTTTTTTTTCCGTATACGTTATTTTCAATTTGACAATGTTTCCAGTAATACAGGAACAGACTATCTTGCTAAGAGACGTAAAAAATCTCACCAGAAACACACAGTACATTTTTCAGTTGCACACATTTCAGTTCCTAAAATATGAATGGCGTCTATAAAATAAAAGGATAGTCAATTACTGCAGAATGTCGATTTATTTCTCGGCTACGGAATTCTATACTATAGTAAGTTGTACTATAAAATTCCATGTATTTTCTTCGCCTTGCCTCTCACAAGGAAACATAGGCGAAAATTTAGAAAATTTTGAAGCAAGTAGAGTAAATTGTGTGCGAGTAGTTCATCCGTAACGTAAAACTATTTTTTGTTCCTGCGAAATTACGATTTAGGGAAGTGAAACCGCTCCTCGAAAAAACATGACATTTTGATTTCAGATTTTGTAAAAATGAAAATTTTTTGAAACTTTCCCCTGTCTCCACTCATTACCTTTGCTAATTTTTATGTTTTTGTTAGGACAAAAGTATCGAATACCAAATCCACCCATACATAACACTAGAAAATTATCGTGATTAAATTTTGGAGAAATCGAGATGATATAGAGCTATAGCGGCGCGCTATAGGCGCATTTGAGTTGAGCTGTACTCGATATAAGTAAAGCACACGCAAATATTACTGTTATTATATAAGCAAATTAATCTCTGTTTACTTTCATGTAATACATTGCATATGATATCATTAAAATTAAGTTCTTATCATATTGCGATAGAAAATATATATACAAGAGGCATTTATCAAGTGTAGCTCGACCTAAAAACGCCTATCCATAGCGCGCCGCCTATAGCTCTATGTTAGTCTCGATTTCTCCAAAACTTAATTGTGATAATTTTCTAATGTTATGTATGGATGGATTTGGTATTCGATGCTTTTTACTTTTGTCCTAACAAGAACTTAAAAATTTGTAAAGGTAATAAGTGGGAAGAGAGAAGGGTTCAAAAAGTTTTAATTTTTGCAAAATCTGAATACTTCGTTGCAAAGAATATAAAATACTTTACAACTTTTACATAAACCATTTTTTCATATATTTTGTATTTTAGATAATATTCGCTAAAAATCAAAATGTCATGTTTTTTCAAGGGGTGGTTTCACCCTCCTAAATCGTAATTTAGCAGGAACAAAAAATAGTTTTTTCGTTACGGATGAACTACATTACTTGCATACAATGTTTCAGAATTTTCTGAATTTTCGGGTTGCCTATGTTCCCTTGTCAGTCAGCTGTCGAGCCTCGCGACTGACTGTCGCAGCACTCAGCCTCAGGGCTGTAAACTTCATAGGCCTTGCGGGACTCTCCCTGATTTTTGAAAAGTTCTTATCGAAACTAATGTTCAATCATTATAATAATCGTTGTAATTATAATCATATAAATGTGTTGGCAGTGTAGATTGAGAAACAGTATATAGAGATAACTAGTTTCAATAAGAACTTTTCAGAAATTAGGTCGAGTTCCGCAGGTCTTATGCTGTTGTCGGACTTGAATACAGCGACTATCAATCACACGTTTGATGAGCGTAAGAAGTAGGAGGAAGAAAATAAGCGCAGCCGTCGAAAATCACCTGGAAGATGCAAGTAATCCCGAGCCAAGTCTACCTCCGGGATTTCGTTCTCGCGGGCGCGATCATCGCGAATCATTGATCCGAGTATCCGCGAACGCCGCGGATCCGTCGTCTCACGAGCCTGTCTTTATCTCTCTTTTTCTCTCTCCTCCCCTTCTCTCTCTCTCTCTCTCTCTCACTCTTACAAGAAGGTTCCTTGGGAATCCTCGCGTTCATATCGAGAAGCCCTCTTCTCCCCAACCCACCTCCTACCATAACGGCTCCCTCGAGCATGTTTCTTTCGGCAGATCGCCTGCGTCGCATGGGAAGAGCCTCTCGCAACTATACCATTGGCTGGGCCATGCGCTGATGATCGCCGCGACGATGGCAACGACAACGACGAAGATGACGGCGCTGACGACGACGATAACACGGTGAGACGCCGATGATCGCGCGAGTTCAACAAGCACACCGCCATCAGACGGCTCCCGCACACACGCATACAAACACATACATTCTACACACACACACATACACACACACACACACACACACACACACACACACACATACACGCGTTATCGTTGAATCCTTGGATCCTGCGGAGCACAGGAGGATCTCTGCACGCGCACGGATCGCGGGATCCTCTCCGAGTCCTCCGAGACGCCGTGGACGCTCGTGGATCCTCTAGGATCCTTAATTCGCCTCTTGCGCATCCTTTTGGCTCTCAGGACCCCTTTGCTCCTTGAACTTCTGCGAGGATCCTGATCACACTCGGTGAGCCACCTTGAGAGCCTTTTTCGGCGCGCGGAGGAGACGGACGCGGATGGAGAGCCGCGGAAAGCTTCGCGAAAAAAACACATGACAAATTAACACATGGATGTCTCTCGTCTTTGTTGTTCTCCAAATGCTTGTATACATCTAAATATATAAATAAATAAATAAATATATATATATATATATATTTATTTATATATATATTGCCGCACCAGAGATCTATGTATCACGCGAACAACACTCCAGTGCGGCTTCTCGCGGCGTCACGATGTAATATATATATTGC